GTAAATGAAGCATTCCCACTACGATACCGGGATGAACCACGATTGGCTCAGGTGCGGGCGGGCTTAGGTTTAAGGAATTTATAATACATCTCTTGCCACTGCCGGGAGAATCGAATGATTTTTGCTGAAACGAACATCCATAGTTATTACTCTTATAAGATAAGACATTAGCGCTTCGATAAAAAGTATACCTCCATGTTATTTTGCTTGTGACTTGGGGATCTTATCCCTACGTTAGCTAAATTTGGTTTGTCAAAAGAATCAAGTGCTACATCGTAAAGTAAACGCAGCAATAAGCACGCGTATCCTAATGTCTTTGGCATATCATCCGGAAATACCGGTTCCAATACACTCCCGGTAAATAATGATATTAGCATATTATGGTAATTCATGGTTGGTATCATATCCATCTCAGTTATTTTTGTCTGTGTGGAAAAACATCCGAGGAGACGCAAAGTATCACACAGACTCGATTGGCAAATCTGCAAAATCAATATTATTTTTATAAGAAAAATTGCGGATTATTAATAGCACATTTAAAGCTTCAAATCTATACCTCGTGATGGAAGAATTTTGCATTTGCTGGTTCGAATCGCATAGCTGTACTTATAGTATGAAATACTACATGCAGCAATGTTAGCAATTGACTCTCGTCCTGCATAGTCCTCTGTATGATATCATTACAAGGTTCATTCTTCTCTGATCTTTGCAAACCTAATTGACCCTCCAGAGATACTAGAACTGACATTACGTAAACAAAGCCTCCAACTTTTCGGAATACTGTTCTGGTCCTATGCGACTCGCGCAGACAAGCTAATAAAGACTGAAAAATAATGGTATTTGTTAATAATTTTATAAATGTTTATCAACAAAATTAATAGAGCAATAATTCACCTTTAGTATATGCGTTTTTAAAATCAAGGCATTAGGAGGTGCCGAATGCATAACTCCTAACAATGTCGCCATATCATCATCTCCACCTGCACTGAGTATCAATTCTCTCACAATACCGAGCGCTTGATATCGGCAATCCACATAGGGCACTAGATTATGAGCGCAACGCGCGCCTCCGCATTCTCTAAAGACATTTGCATTTTGAACATTACTCGCTAATAATGTTGTTAAAGCCTCCATTACTAAGGCACCCAACCGTTCATCCTCGGGGCATATCGTGTATTCTGAAACCATTCATTTCAACTTCTTGAAATTTGTACACAAACTTGCGTACAAAATTATATTTTTAACACAAATTACCTAATCCTTGATCGATTGCAGCTTGCTTATCTTTAAGTAATGTTGCGTACCGATGAAGACAGGTCACAAAAACTTCTAACAGACCAACTTCTCTATAAACATCTTTAAATATAATGTTGTGTCTGAAATGATCGATCGTATTTAAAACTTATATTTTAAAATGAAATTTCCTGAATTATTTTTTAGTAAATTATTACCTTAGTATATTGAGGAGAGTCTCCATACACATAATACTACATGAAATTGAATTGTTCGTTTTCAGTAAAATAGATAAGGATATAAGTTCTTTACACGGAACAAAATTAAGTTGGAAAACAATAAATTCCAACAATTGAAAGAATTTTGCTTGTATTTCCGGATTTTTTAAATGGATTTTCTCTGCAAACTGGGACAAGGTATTCTGCCCCTCGAGAATAAAATAATTTGCATTATCACTGTGATACACATTAGATATCGCGTCCAATATATTGCAACACAGAAGTGATGAATTAGATTTCACGAATACAGATTGCAACACTTGGAATGCTTGAATATTTCGAACGCTTCCTCCTATAGGCACAGTAAAATGATACGTAATGTATTTATTATATATCTCATAAAAAAATTTTATTCCTAAGATTACCTCTGTTACTAGGTTGTGGCAAAGTAAATCCAAGCATTTGAAACAAAGATCCCATACTAGCTTGACTTGGCTTTAGCTCTGTGTGACCACACATTGTTAAAGATGCTAACATTAGTACCAAATTCCGGATAGCATCTTGTGCTTCCGCTCTGTTATCTTGCTCTAATCTTGACGGCGCTTGCCTACGGAAATGTCGATCTTACTAATCGTTACAAGTGATTATCGCGCTTCATAATTAACATTCACTTACTTTAGTAGAAACTCAGACAGCAAGATGTAGCCCTGATAAGCACGAAAGTCATCTAACAGTACTTGAGAAACCTCACTGGAGTCTTTTAGAAAACAGAATATTGTTACGAACATTTCTACAACTTCTAATGGTGCCAGCTCAGGTACACGTTGCATATTATCGATACAGAGTGCTATGCATTTCTTATCTACAAGATAAATCAATATTGCAAGTGGATATTCATTCGATCATGAACTTATTAAATGCGATAAAAGTGTCGAACTCACTATGAATATAGGCTACTACGTTTTGCGTAAGACCATGTAGAGATAGCGTCATCAAGACTTCGGCGGCACTTTTACGCCACATGATATTGTACTGTGGACACCAACTGGTTATTGCTGAGAACAGTAAGGTAAGATCGTCTTTACGGGCGAGTTCTTCCGCAGGGTAAGGATGGCTACATAATCTCACCAATAACTGCAAGTAATGGAACAAGTTAATCTCGCGGAGTCTTAATCTCCCGGGAAAATACAAGACTGTCATTCAAGAAAATTTGTTTATCACCTGAACAAATATTTTTTGTAACAATATCCTACGCTCTCTAGGTGTAAAGTCGCTATTTGCATCCGTGATATTGGCGTCTGCTTCATTCATCTCAGGCAGATCAAAGAACAGATATAAACATTTCACAAGAGTCGATGGAACCGAGGCAGCAGTCATGGCCTAAAAAGAATTCTACGATGCAGAAAACCGCTTCGCTTCAAGAAACATAATCTCAACTGGGATAAGAAATAATTTAATTCACTTGTATCAGAGACGTATCACCCGCTGCCAACAGATTCAACGCGGACAATAACATCCAGCCGTTGCTCGACTCCTCGCTGTTCTCGATCTCTAGAAACTTGACGATGGCACAACTCGCCGTCTCGGTACTCTGATTGCTCGCTCTTCTCCTGATCTCAGATACCATCAGTCTTGATACTTGTTGCGTAAATGCCAGAATATCCCAGAACTTTTCGTTCATGTCTCCTGATGGACTAGAGCCAAATACCTGGTGGCACAGAAATGTTCCTCTAAAGTGAGAAATCCGTTCCAACATCAAAAAGAAGAAAATTCTTCATATAAAATATTTTATATTAAAGAATTCACTTCTATCTCTCTTATGTTCTACCTTGCAAAATAACGGCAACATGTTATACAATTTGTCATCACGCTCAGCGTCAGAGAGAGGATGCGGTGGGTGAGTGTACTCGGAAAACAATTTCTTGAGATGCATAAGTCCCAGAGCGGTGTGCTGGGGATTCGCGCCACCGGCAGAATCATCCAAGCCACCGGTACCGCTCGAGCCCATACCGCCGACACTGGTACCCCCTCGTAATTTGCGCATTATGTTCATACTTGAGACTTGCTGGAAAAAGAGAAACATAGAATGCTTCCTTCGTCATCCGTGTCTCTGGTATCTCTCGACGTTCTCCAGCTATGGCACAAGAGAAAAACGTGGTATCATCAGAGGAATTCTTTTTCGGGACTGTCATTCAGGCAGCATCCGAAAAGCTGTCAATCTGCAAAGTCGAGCGGAGAACGACAGGTATAATCGTCGTTCATACTTATAAATAAAAAAAAAAAAGAATATTGCAGAAAAATAAGAAAAAGAAAGCGACACGGACTCAACCTTCTGGCATAGCTGGTCGATAGAAAGCTGATCAATACGAATGAGCTATTTTAACGAATTGACGAAAATGTCAACGTGCTCAAAAGGAACGACGCAAAATGAAACATACACACATACACATATACGCGCTCGCGCGCGTCAACCACACGTATATACACGTATACACAGGTGAGAGACGTACGTTGAGAGTCGTGATTTAATAACTCAGGCGATCGGCAAGGGATGCACGTAGGGACGAAGAACGCGTCGCGCGGGTACAGGGCATGACGGCAATCTGTCCGCGACGATCAGCGGACACGCTGTCCGTCATGCGCTCGTCGTGCCGATGTCACGAATGTCAATGTATCGGGCAGCATGGGGCGCGTGAAAATGGCCCGATTCCGTGCGAGATGAAACAGCAATCTCTCCGAGCATCGGCGGTCCCCGGCGAAAGAGACGCGGCGCGTGCGATAGCCGGATCCGAGTCGGCGGTCAGCGCACACGACAGATCAGCGGCATCGCCGTTCGTCAGGCATCCGGCTCAATATTTACGTCTGTCCGTCCGTCTGTCCGTCTATCCACCCGCCCGCCCGTCCGCTCGCTCTCGAAACGTCAGACCGATGAGATGTCACACCGCGGCGCGGCTCACACGCAGTATACGCACGTACACACACGTGCGCGCGCGCGCGCGCGCCCCGGTCCCCCGTACACGTCGTTCCGAAACCGCCCATGAACGTCACCGATGAACCGCGAAACGATCGTTGACGCCGCGTTGCCGATTAACGCCACGCGATCGGGAATTACCTGGGACGCGCCTCCGATCTGGGAAATTCTACATTTTCTGTCGGCAAGTCGTCTCGATTCTCGCGGCGGGAGACTTTAATATTTCAGTGGCAGCGGCCATCTTCCCCGCGTTTGACAGTTCGCTCGGCCCAACGCGATACGTCGATAAGCGGCCACGTGACCCGCGGGGATTCCTAGCTGGCCGGGGGTGAGGATTTTTAAAGGTCGATTTTTAAAAGGATTTTCTCTTCTCCTGTCCGAAGGACTCGCTTGATGTTAATCGCTATCGGCAAATTATTCAAGAATGTTATGCATTATTATTATTATTAATTATTCAAATTATATTTCTTTGAGAATCAAAAGTTTAAAAAATTTTCTGATATACAATTATTTACTTTTTAGAACTTAAATTATAAAATAAGAAAAACGTCAAGGTGATTGAATAATCATGTCTTACATATATTTTTATTTACATTGTACTTTATAACTTTCAAAATTTGTAACGTTCAAGATTACAATTTATAATTACAAACAAAATGCGCAGAAGCTGATTGGCATTAATTTAAAACGTTTACTCGGTATTCACGTTATTCGCTGAAAAAAATCTGAAATTTTTCTTTGGCCGCTCTTTCTCAGGAGTGATTTTTGCTTATGCGATTCCGGAGCGTAGTCTTTCAAGATCTTAATGGATTCGCTATCGCTTAATTCTGTAGATTCCACTGATAATTCAGGCTTTATCTTTTTCGATGTATCTTGATTGTCGATAAGATTTTGGATACTTGACTCTTTAGAATTCAAAGAATTTACATCGTCAAACTTATTTGATATCTTATCTTCCAATTTCTTCTTTTTATCAACAACGTTATCTGCAAACTGATTATCTTGTAAATCGCTGTTTTTATGATTATCCCTTTCTCTTGAGTCACTCTTGATTTTCTCGTCGCATATATCTTTAGTATCGAGTTCAGCATTATCGTTGCTATCCTCGCAACTTGTTAGCCAATTCATTATCATTTCCTCCTCTGCCATTTCCTTCTCTTTAGCTTCTGAGTAGTGATACCGCTTGTTCTCGATATCTTTATTTGACAAAGTAACGATTTTGTTTTCCTTAATCGATGTATCTTTCAAACATTCGGTCGAAGAACTTTCAATCTTTGCCGAAAAATATTTGCTCAATGGCTTTATCCTACTTCTGTTGTACAAGAAACAATAAAAATCCGAATGAGCATTTGATACAGATTCACGGCGATATTCCGATAGCATTGTATAAAGTCGCGCTAAAAAGATCCAATTAATATATATATGAATATATATGAATGGATATATAAAATGAATATAATTTTTAAGTATATTAATATTCATCCACACAAATACCTATTTCAATATCATGGTGAACCAAATGTGTATACATCGCTGCCACGTCATCTCGCAGCTTTGTGTTTCCGAAAGTAAAATAGACCATTGATCGGCCTGCAACTGCAGCAGCCATTAATTGTATCAAGACTTTCAACTTTGGATTTCCGCGAAACGCTCCACATCCCCAATTTCCCGTTGCGATGGCAGACAAATTATTCTTATAGACATCAGATCCAACGAATCCGACATAAGCCTATGATCAAGCATTATTAATACAAGATCATAAATTAATAACTTTTCGTAGCCTACAACTATAATTTTTAAATTTTAAAGGGAATATGATCGAACATTAAAGTTAAAAAGATATTAAATCTCATATATACAGAAATTCAATTATTTTATTTTTTTTTTTAATAAAAGTGAAACTTTATTTTCAAATAAAACCATTTCATATTTTAGTAATTTAGAAATCCGAAGCACAAGTTACGTAAATTCTTATTTAAATCCATTTCTAAGCATTTACATGGAGATTACCTTATTAAGCTCACGATTTATGTTGTCCATATTGAATTGTAACGAGGACTGCCTGAAGTAAAGAGCATCAATAGCGACGATTGACGTCATACGTCTACCGCTATTATCCCTTGGTGTCTCGTCAACAAAATCTCCTTTCCATTTGAAAGTATTGCTGTAACCTTCGTATTTACTGTACCGTTCGATACCGCTGACGATGAGTGCCTCCGTATCATCTAATTCCTCCGTAACCAACATGGTTATCATGAGTTCTGGACATATAACGAATCGTATTTCTTCTTGAACACAGCCTAAGCCTAGCACTCCTCCACCTACATATCTATCATCAGAAAAAGAAATTAATATGATAATAAATCACAATTGTATAATAGACTCACTTATTTGCAAAATCTACTTGGAGCAGCCCAGCTCCCTCAATCTCAATGGTTCCTTTACTCGTTACATGTAACGGTGGCAATTTTTGATCCTGCAAATTCCACTTTGGACAACTTTCCAATGGAATGTAACGTCGTTCGATTGTTATTACACCTTCAGGTGCTACTCTATGTAAAAATTATAAAATTGTATGATTCAAGTTCTATATTATATCCATTCACTGCATTTATCAACTAATTGCACAAATATTCATTAGGTAGATTTCATATTTATGATGTATTCACCTTTAGTTGTTACTCTTCTGAAATAATGGAAAAGACATTTAAGTTTTTCCATCACAGACTCGCACTGATTATGTTTTTCTTCATTATAGGCGGCGAACAATCTAAAATACGCAATTAAAAAGATATAATAAACAAAACCTATATCAAAAATATATTTACAATATCAAATAACTTCAATAAATGATTTAAATCATTTAGAATTTTACCTGTTAAAATTAATATATGGATACGTTGCATATTCTGATTGCGGATTACTGGAATTGCGTCTAGGAAATGTACAAAAGAATGCGTTTGCCAGCAGCGAAGCTACTTGTAATTGACTTAAACTGATAGAGCCATTCGTGTGTCGTTTTAATAGAGGTACTGCACCAGTTAGTAGCACGGGAAGCTGCAGAGCAAGTTGAATTATTTTTGGCATCAGAGTTTCAAAGAATATCGTTGTCTCTTCTGAATCCATAACCTGCATTAAATATTGTTATCAATTAGAATATTTAAAAACTTGAATGCAATGAGAGGTATACCTCTGAGAAAAAGTGATGGAGCGCTGCAAAGTTCCAACGTTGTGCATATATCTGATTGTATGAAAGTATAGCTTCTTCCAACTGTTGACTGGAAAGAATGTTCCTCAGCAAAGCTTCCTGAATCATTTCCCATCTATTTCGGCAGTTGCGACTTCCGCTTCTCTAAAATAAACTCTAATAAATGAAATATTCGAGCAGGTTCACTTTCTTTATAATATTCTTTATAATTTCTATATAATAGAATCTTAAACAATTTAAATTTAATTATGAAGACATATAATATTAAAAATATGAAATCTGTGATTTAATAGTAATGATAGCTTTCCTGAATGTTTTCTAAAAAAATTATCTGAAGAATCAACTCAAGATTGTAAATATTGAATATCATATTTGGCAATGTATACCTGTTCTATTGGATACAAACTATGCGCAGAATGGGGCATTCGTACATAGCCTTGGCTCCACTTGTCTATTTGGTGTGTTGGGTATGGCTTTGGTGGGCCATGTGAACGCAACGGCAACTATTGGAGAAAAAGTATATATATATATATATTGCAAATATATTGTATTTAATAAAACATATATAGCAAAATCTATATACATATAAAATATATCAATTTATCAAATTTATACATTATATAAAATATAATATAAAACGTTGGTATATCATTGTTGCATTTACGTGAAATTATGTCATAAACAAATTTGTATGAAATCGCACCATAAATAATACAGTATGGCGGGAAGAGACAACGATTGGTGGATGTTCCTGATATTCGTAAATGCCAAGACCTTTGCGTATCTCGTCCATGCTCATACCCTTCCATTCAGGTACATCATCGGAAGGTTCTGGTTCATTAACACCAACGGACATAGAGCTCGCTGAAAACGTTTGTGTATTGCGAATGAATATTTAACAAAACACATACAAAATTTCTATAGAAAACTAATTTAAAAAGTGAATATCAATTTTTGTTTATTAGAATCAATATGCAAGATATATACAAATTCTTACAGTCCGAATTGGCAACATTATTCGTGCTCTGCGACAATTCAATGTCTGAGAACAGATCTGCAGAGAGCTCCTCCTCGAATGTAATTTCCGATTCTGACATTCTATCCTCCGGAAGTGCCTGAAAACACACAGCCGTAAAAATCACACAGTAATAGCGAGATAAGGAACGAGATCACATCTGTTACAAAAAAAAAAAACAATAATACTGAGACAATATATGCGTTTACAATACGATATAAACGACTTGAGACTAACCAAAATCATTGGCCATGAACCTACAAAAAATTTTCGGCGAATTTCAACGGCGTTCGTCAATCTTCATGTGAATTCACACATCGTGACATGTCAGATGCCGAATTTAGGTTGCGTTTCGTCGCGTTCGACGTCCTACAGATGTAATATATATGCACAATTCGCGCAAATCGTACGAGTCACTATCCTGCGTTGAGAGATCGAGAATGGTTATGGCAGTTGTGTATGTGTATATATATATAGTTTGTGTGACATCAGATTAAGTTTTTTTAATTCATCGATTAATAAATCGCATTATGCGTAAATGCAACTTTGCTTTATAAAAACAACATTTGTGCATTATGCGATTAATCAATCGATGAATTAAAAAATTCGTCTATTGTTTCTGTCGGGAAATTTAACGAAAATCAATTTTGAATCATATTCGACCATGCTTCAGAAGCGTCTTGCGAAAGATTTTGTTCAACTTATAATCTGTGTATTTTATTTCTGCATAGATATGTATTTTGTGTGTGTGTGTGTGTGTTGACAAGAATTTTATTATAAATTTTATTATTATTATTTAAATATAATTCTAAAATTTTTATTATACTTTTTTTGTATAATTAAATTGCGAAATTACTTGAACGTCTACTGTTGTATTAAAAAGGAAAAATATTTTATTAAACTTTAAAAATTTACGATTTAAGATTGTATTATAGATTATCGTTTTTTTTTTTAATTTTCGTTTCATTTACATATATTCATAATTCACAAACACAATTTATTTTTTTGTCTTAAATATTTTTATTCTTTCAGAATATTTGTCATATTCTTGCATTTTCTTATATATTCTTATATTTCTTATATATTTTTTCTCTGTTCTCCATATATTCATTCAGATATTTTTTCATTTTGCTTCATTGCTTATGTGCTTATATTAATTTAATTTAATTTATCTTATTCTAATTACTTTGCACTCGATATGTCTCATCTAGGATGAGATTGTATAATTACAAAGACTAGTAAAAATATTGATATGTAAACACTATATATATATATAGATATATATATACACAACACGCAACATACTTATATGTATAACAATTTTTAACATTATTGAGGATACCATTTCTTTCATTTCTAACACTTTCGTTATTTTATTTATTGTTATTGAGGTATTAAATTACGCAGGTAACTGAGTATTTCTTCTGTATCTTTTATTAGAATTGCTTGCCTAGGATATTTGAAACAATTTCCAGACAACAATAGATTTCTAAAAGAAAGAATATGTTTATATAATTATGATAAAAATGCCAAGTAATTTGCCACTATATACCTAGTATAAAATGTTTTTTACCTTAAATTTTTCAAATTACCGAGTTCAGGCGGTACATGAGCAATATTATTATTTGTCAGATCTAATACTGCGAGTCTTTTTAATTTTTCCAAAAGTGATACATCTATCTTTGCAATTAGATTGTCATTGGCAATTAAACTTTCCAAAGATGTAACATCATAAATAGATTCTGGTAACTCGGTAAACCTGTAGAATAATAGCGCATAAATTTATTATTTTTGATCTTTAAAAAAATCATAGGCAAACTTATATGTGATACCTGTTAAATGATAGATCAACGTCTCGCAAGTATTTCAAGCAACTGATGCTTGATGGTAAAGACTGCAAATAATTTTTACTTATATCTAAAACTTGCAAATATTTGTACTTTTCACCAATCCATTCTGGTAAGCTCGCTAGATGATTTGAAGTTAATTTTAAGTCCGTCACCGTAGCGATTATCGACATTTTATCGGGCAATTCTGAAAATTTGTTTCTACTTAAGTCGATGATTGTGACGGAGGCTTCCGCTGCATTCTCCAAAACTTCATCGGGTAACTCCTGAAGATTTTGTCCAGTTAAACTGAACAACTTTGTATTCTTCATTATATATCTATATTATTAGAAGTTATATTTTATTTTATTATTAATTTTGAATATAACATTAGATTATTTTTAAAAAATTTCTTAAAAAATATAAGAATTTCGATTATGATTATAATTAATAGATTAATATTTACATACTTATCGGGATAAATATTATTGCTTGTACTAGGTTGTAATAATTCTTTGGCATTTATACTTGTATTATCTACCCTTTGGCGAATGTGTGTCAAAATGCGAGGTGTTCCACATCGTATTATATCTCCTCTTATATTTTTTATATTATTTCCCTTTATCGTAAACTGCTTCAAATTAGGCAATATGCCAATACAATGAGGTATTCTACACAAAAATTTATTTTAACGAATAATCTAAATATATAAAATAATGATATTAAAAGGAGAGAAAGAGATTTATGTAACGTACAAAGATATATTATTATACGATAAATCAAAAACCTCTAATTTTATCAATTTGATTATTTCTTCAGGTATTACTTCAATTTTATTGCTTTGCAACGTGAGCTTTTTTAGGTGTCTTATTGCTTCTAAGCGTTGCGGATCAATTTCCTATAAGAGAAAAGATTATCGCCTTAGTAAAATAGCGTTTATAGGAAAAAGTCAAACAATTTTGATTTGCTCAAGAGACATAAATGTATATTAACACATACAGGAATGTTATTGTTATCCAAATGCAATACTGTTAAAGCTGAACAACCTGATATGTCTGGAAATTCTTGCAAATTATTAGATTGAAACATGATTCTTTCTACTTTTCGCAATTCGCTTAATGGTGGTAACGTTTCCAATTGGTTAAAGCTGGCATCTAATGTTTTTAATGCTACCAGAAAATATAATTAAACATTACTAGATAATTAAAATATGTATTGTACATATGTCAACATAGGTCATTTTTCAATGATTAATGCATTTAATGTATATGAAAGAAACTTACATCTCATATTTGTTATATCGGGCGGTAATTCTTTTATCATGTTGTGACACAAATTTAACGTTTCTAATCGTACCAAATATCCCATTCCAATTGGTAATTCACTTAAATTATTATACGATAAATCCTAAAGAGACGAATGTATGCAACATAAATTATTTTGTTTAAGAAATCATGTTTACATTTATAATCACATATAATATATATTTTTTACCATATGAGTTAACATGATTAGATTCCCAATCTCGGCTTCGAGTGTACTTAAATGATTACTTTTTAGATATAACTCACATAATTCCTCCAATGTGTAAAATTCACGAGGTAAATCTTTCAGTTTGTTGTTGGACAGATTTATTATTTTTAACTTGCGCAGAGAGTCGATCTCAGGTGGTAATTCTTCTAACAAATTGTTGTGCAACTGGAAACGACAGAATTTTTTAAATAGAATAGACATATTGAAAGTTTAATGTACATGTATTTAGAATTTACGTGCGTACGGCAAGTAATTTATACATACATTTAAAGTACTCAGTTCTGTTAGAAATTGTATCTTGTCATTGATTACAGTTAAACTATTGGAGCTTAGATCCAAAATCTTCAGTGGTTCTTGTTCCCACCATCGTTCTTCCTCGTGTACATAATCGAGCTCGAAATGCATGTCACATAATTCTTCTTTTGTTAATTCGTTTATGCTCCATATTCTATCAGGTACTGTAATGTATGTTAATTTCTACATTCAAGATTTCATGCAATATTTCGTTTTGCTATTAAATTCAATGAAGGCGTTCACTGAAATTTACTTACCCGTTGGAAATGGACTTATCTCTAAGCTACGTCGAATATGCCTAAGATCATACGATCAGTTCTAATATTATATTTAACAAAGCATGCAAAGCAATTTAAGATGATTCTGTTGACGATGTCAAGCATGTTTTATTCATAGTAAATTGTTTTTAAATAGCATGTATCATGGAGCATTAGTAACACAAATCAATCAAATAAGATAAATATAAGATAAATATAAACTTAAAAATTAAGTAAAATATTAAATATTTGTTACACTTATATATTTTCATTAAAATTTGGAAAAAATTTTGTCATATTTAGAATTTATTATACATTACATTGAAAAAGAATTTATTACATACTATATACAATAAAAAAAAGAAACACAATTGTATGAAACAGAATTTATTTAACTTCCAATTATACACATAATTAGATTTGTAGGATATAAATATATAAAGTAGATGCCAATTCATTACACCAAACAGTTTTTCCTGCCTAGAACTAATAATATATTAAAATACACATGTTGATACTTTATATCCACAAAATCTTACATGACAGAGTGACGAACAACAGCGAAACATTATGCATATCTCACTTCTTTACATTCTTGTTCATATTCCCAATGCATGTGTGTATCATATATAAATAAAACAACTAACAATAAATATTTATTGAAATATATTCAAGCAATAAACACAGGCAACATTGAAATAAAAGACCTATATAATGCATTTAAAATTATGTCGATGAAATTATAGATATTTAAACCCTTTGCACTCTTTGTACATCTGCAATTTACTCTCAACATAAAAATAAAACCATGTGAACTATTTCTTATGATATTTTGAAATGACATTTTATGTTTTCACTTTATATTCTGCACAAGAACAAGTTGATAAATTTATTACAAATTGATTGATGATTTAAATCATGAATACAAAGAGTTAACATGGATACATATATGGCTTTACCACCACAAGCATGCACATCCAAGATCTGTTCTTTAGCTGAATTATAATAAATAACCTTTGTACTTAAAATATTATAAATATATATTTAAAGTTTAGGAAAAACTTGAAAAGAAGTTTTAATACAGTCTAATGTGGCAATAAAGAACAGGTCTTCAATTATAAGTGCAAGCTCTCTTATGACCTAAACGAAAACTGGAGCATGCTTGAAATAATAACTGTGTTACGCAAGCAAATAAAGTCCTAGACACAATGAAAGAAATAGAAAATAAAAAATTAAATTGCGACATATAGAAATGTTTTAATATACAATCAAGAAATACCAAGGTACTCCTTCATTGTTCAAAAATAATTTTCTGTTCTTAATTCCTTTCCATTCATTGTGTGTAAGCTCCAAGTGTACGACGAATCTGTATGGGATGTTGACGACGCATTCGATCATACAGAGTTCACAATTCAGCGTGCACAGACAGGTGCTCGCAGATATATACCCGTGGACAATCCCTTTGACGAGAGATTCAGATGTCCCGTTTTTCTCGCTTCTAAAATGACGCTTCTCGATAACTCAGCATTGTCCTCGTTTTTGGTACGCCGTTTAAACACTGCCTGATGATTGACTTTCTTCTTGACACCGCTCATCGTGGAATGAGACACCCATCGATAATCGTACCTCCGCCTCGATCCTAGGAGTGCGCCCAGTAGATTAAACGAATCACGCGACCTCCGTTTACGCGTGGGAAAAAACGCAGAAAAATAACACGCGTGTATACCAAACACAGGTGGGCCCTACCTTGTGTTTACACTGTATTGTACTTTCTGCACTGAAAATGAAACTGAGATATAAATAATGAATTGAAATGAAAGAGAGAGCAATATACAGCTGGACCGAGAGGAAGCGAGAAACAACAGCCACGGAAGTTAAATCAAAGGAGAGAAAAGACGAAAAATTTATCTGCGAGGAACGAATCTCTGAAGTCAAATTGCCGAACGTTGGAAAGAGAGCGATGATAAAAAAATTGAAAATATCACAAACTGCTTAGCCTTGCAACATTATCGACCGGGAAGGATCGCGGTTTACCGAGTCGCTTGTGCACTTCTACACCACGGTTGCACGTTGAAGGCCGCTATGCATAAACTGCTGACGAGAAAAACGCGACGTAATCGCGTTACGAGGCGATAAAACTCGGTGGCGCTATTACTGCACCTTCGGCAAAGCGTGAACTCGCGTGATCGAACGATCGTGGGAGTTTCGCGTCACGATCTCGCTCGCTCGCGACCTCATGCGTGGCAGCCTTCACGGCGCTGGAACGGGAGCAGTGCGCTGCGCGCCTGCCGAATACGCCGCTACGGATCAGGGGCACGGACAGGCACGGAGCGAGGGACAGGGACACGCTCTGCTCGAGATACACAGGTACACTTAGTAGGCACGCTCGCAGGGGACGACGACGACGACGACGACGACGACGACGACGACTCGCCGTCCATTTCTCCCGAGCGAGGTTGGCAGGATTTGTTTGTGCTTACATACGCGCGGTGCTACGCTACCTCGGCGACGGTGGTCCCCGCTGAGCGTCCGTTTCACGGGACTGGAGAGGAGAGCCACGTCGGCGGAGAGGGTGCCTGCCGCGCGGTGGTCCACGGAACGCCTACGGTGAACGGATGCGAACGGTGGTGAGCGACCTGGGGTGAGAACGAGACGGCGTGACGGAGTCCTCGCCCGCGTCCCGGTGTGGACAGTTTCTCCTCTTCCCCCTCTCTCTTTTCCCTTCCCTTTTTCCTACCCCTATCATTTCTCATAGGTGTGCTCGACGACCGCCCCGTTCACCTCCGGAACGCGCGCTTCTCCTTTTCCTCCTCCTCTTCCTCCTCCTTCTCTTCCTCTTCCTCCTCCTCTTCCTCCTTCCTCCTCCTTCTCCTCCTCGTCATCCTTCTCGACGAGGATCACCTTGGCGCCACTTCACGTCCACATCCGTGACCCTCGCCCGGCCCCTGCGCCCGGCAGTCTTCGCACCCGGTTACAGCACAAACACAGAGATTGTGGAGTCGAGGAGGTTAAGGGGACGGCACGAGAAGGAGGACGCGCCGTCCATCACCATGAAGCTCGTCGACCACGTGGTGAGGAGCTTCAAGGTGGCCAAGGTATTCCGCGAGAATACTGATCGGATAAACAGCATCGATTTCTCGCCGAATGGTGACACCTTGATCTCCTGCTCTGAGGACGATCAGATCGTCATATATGATTGCGAGAAGGGTACACAGGTGCGGACGGTCAACTCGAAAAAGTACGGCGTCGATCTGATACACTTCACCCACGCGAAGAACACCGCGATACACAGCAGTACGAAGGTCGACGACACAATTCGCTATCTCAGTTTGCATGACAACAAGTACATACGTTACTTTCCTGGTCATACAAAAAAGGTAGTGTCATTATGTATCAGTCCTATCGAAGACACTTTCCTCTCCGGTTCCTTAGATAAATCGCTGAGATTATGGGATTTGCGTTCGCCGAACTGTCATGGGGTGATGAACGTCTCAGGACGACCGGTAGCAGCTTACGATCCTGAGGGCCTCATCTTTGCAGCTGGAGTAAATTCGGAAAGTATCAAGCTGTACGATCTACGTAGCTTTGACAAGGGGCCCTTTGTCACCTTTAAGCTCTCTCAGGAAAAGGAGTGCGATTGGACTGGACTGAAGTTCAGTAGAGATGGCAAGACTATCTTGATATCCACTAACGGTAGTACAATTCGTTTAATTGACGCTTTTCACGGTACACCCTTACAGACTTTCGCTGGATATCTCAACAACAAGGGAATCGCTATAGAGGCCAGTTTTAGTCCGGATTCCCAATTCGTGTTCAGTGGCTCCACGGATGGCAGGGTGCACGTGTGGAACGCGGAGACCGGTTACAAAGTTTGCGTGCTGAACGGTGATCATCCAGCGCCGGTACAGTGTATCCAATTCAATCCTAAATATATGATGCTGGCATCGGCATGTACCAATATGGCTTTCTGGCTACCCACCATCGACGAAAACGCATAAAGTTAATTTATGAGAAATTTGAATCCACACCTTGAAAAGGAAGAGAAGGAGAGAGTGAGAAAAGAAAACAGAAGAGAGAATAGAGGCAGATAGCTGAAAATAATCAACCACGAAGGAAGTGAAGGATATTTATAACTTATATTCGACCGAATACATTTACATTGCATTTACATTATGTGTACAAAACTGGAACAGCTATTGTGCGACGTGGTATCAGTACCGAAACGCATCCGAGGAAGCAAAACGACAAGTGCAAATAACGTGAGAGCTCGAACAGCTAGACCGAGAAAATCACTGTGGAGTACATCTTCTCCATCTGTATCGCCATCAACGTCATCGTTATAATAATACAAGGAAATCCATGTCTTTTAAGACGTTTCGAATATATATCGTACAGCCTCTTCCTTCGTCTGGTAGGCGTTTAGCGATATGTCAAACGAAATTCGCATGCAGGAAGAGGCAATCTTTGGATTTCGTCCGTTCCCGGGCAGTCGGTTGTCTCGCCCGATTGTGTTCGAGAAAATAGATGTAGAACGAATCCCGTAGTGCTGATCGTTTCGTAAACGATATAGAACGACGCTCTGCCGAAAGCAGCCAGCCGTCTTTGAGAATTTTGTACGCGAAGAACCGTACGCCGAAGCTAGACGTAGGTAACTTTACGGACATCTAGAGGGACAAGATTCGTGTATACGATCTATACGATGTCCTTGAATACACATGCATTTTATCAAACATCATCGTTTTCTCCTCCTCATACAATTGAACACGTCGTTAGTGAGAGCTCGCATCGGCGAAATTGGCTTTGTATTATCGGCAGTTCTTTTTTATCGTGGAATTGGTGTAATCGTATTGTTAACATGTTTAACGCGTCGAATGCCTTACATTTTTAATAATCGGTTTCGCGCGTATGTCTCGGGCATTAAGACGTTAACTTAATTAAGAAACACAAAAACGCGTGCTAGCAATTTCCAAATAATTGAAGCGAATTCCATCAATATAAATAGAACGCCAACTATTTTCAACAAATAGTTTGCGTTTAGCAGATTTGATTATCATTATAGTTAATCTAATTAATGATTTACATGGTCGTATACAAAATAAGTTCTTTTTAAGCTGATCGAAACTGCGCGAAGTGTTATCTTTGTGATAACAATCTTGTGATATTTTGTTTTTACGTTGTCTAACTTTGTCTATTTGCGACACGGATAATTGGATGTCTTAGGTTTAGTCATCAACCTTCAATTCTTATCTCATCACTTATTTAGCTTTCAACATACATAAGTTGTAAGTAATATACAAGATAATGCGCATTATCTTGTAAGAACCAACCATACGTAGCTGACATTAAATACATGATATATAAAATGTCATCTCTCTTAAAATTCGTAACTTTCGTCGAGCGTGTAAACGTGAAAGAAAAATTGTCGGAATATTATCTTTTTCTGTATGCGGCCATGCTCAATCGATACATAGCGGTACTATCTAGTGCTATTTTGTAGTTGTGAACTTGGGATTGTACGCTTATTGTCTTTCCTACTCCTCACTTGTAGTTATCTTTCAGATTAGTTTCGTCCCTGAAATCAATCGCCACACGCTGCGAGACAGCTATGAAGTAAGAAGTGGGGAAGATAATAAGAGTGTCAGTTCCAAAACTCAAAACTGCAAATCCTGAACAGCACTCCAATGTAAAATCATCGAAGAATACCTAATTGCATATTTATACACCTGACGGATTTCCGATAATCGAAGGCAGTAAGGAGAAGGAGGAAGAGGAGAAGGAGGAGAAGACGTTAATGTCGCATATGGAAATGGCCACCACTATTCTCGCTTTCGGAATATACCACACTCGAGAAATTGCAATGATCGTTACACAGAGAACCGGAAGAGAGACAGTTTTGCGTGTCTCCGTTCGTGAAAGGAAGCGACGATTGTGGTAGTGACGATTCTATCATTGCCATCGGTATACCGGAAGATATACTAGATGTGTCCATTAAAAACTATAGGAGCTTATTTATTGCGTGAAAATCGCCTAACGACGATAAAAAAGCGAAAGAAAAAAGAAAGCGAGAAGGAAAAGAAGGAGCGCGAGTCTCCACGAACGACGAAATCCTGCGATAAAGCGCGTTGCATTACTCGCGATATATAATATCTCGTATTCATTACGCGAAAATACGCATACGTGATTGTCCGCAACAAATTCACGTTTCCGTATCGTATTACATTAATTTATCGATGTTATCGCTTTTACATGATATACGTATGAAATCAGCGGGCTAAATAAAAAACATGACGTTCGTAGAGACTGGGGCTTTGCTCTCCTTCTTTCTCGCTGTATCGTATTTATTACGAATTAATTGCGGTAATATTTACGCGCAATACAGAATGATGATTTACGGTTGTTTCTTGCCGAATGAAATCTTGTGCAGGTACACGTAGCATATGCACGCAAGAGTTTTTCGTATTTTCGTTAAGAAGCAAACCATGATCACATCGGCGATATATTCTGTCTCCGCGAAGCGAATAGGCAAGTGTCATCGCACAGCCAATCTAGTTTCTTCGTTAAAAAGAAATGAGAAGATAAAATCGAATTTCGCTGTATTGCTATCTGTGAACTGTACGAATACTACGATCGCACGAAGCCGCACGGCGAGTCCTAGGTTGCAAATATCCAATATTTCCGTTCTCTTTCTCGCGCGTGCTCTTTTTGCTCTCTCTCCCTCCTCTCTCTCTCTCTCTCTCTCTCTCTCTCTCTCTCTTTCTCTAACTCTAACAAATCTCAATTTCATTTTTCGCATTTCTGCGGAAGCTCTATAGTGATCCGAATTCGACCGTTGTGTTCGATCTATTCGATCGCCCGCTACTCCTCTCGTCTTCGTCCTTTCGTATATGTATATACGGTAGTATCCATTATTTCCTGTAGATTTTCTAGGCGTCTCCGTTTAACATATTTTGTGACAAGAGCGTGGTCAATATTTTATTCGATTATATATGTATGTGTGCATGCGTGCAAGTATATGCAAGTACGAGCGAGAGAACAAGTGATTATATACGTTTTACGTGCGAATCTGTCTGTGTATCTGTCTGTGCGATTTGCGTGAGTGAGAGCTTGCCTCCTGCGCTGTAAAATAGTATTTTTTTATAACGGCGATGCAGTATGCGCGAAAGAAACGCGTTGACGGGACGTATTTGCGAATTCGCGCGAGATAAATCTCTCGCGCGTACGCTTTCGCGAGGGAGAAACTTATTACAGAGAGGAGTACAAAGATGAACGAAAGCTTTCGACCCTTTAGTCGCACGGCTCAAGCCTCGAACTAAACGGAAACATCGCGTGCGAATATAGAATTAACTTTTTTTGTACAACAACGTAATCACAATTTTGTTTTTAATCTTTTAGAATACACGAATGTGTTATCTAAGAAATACTTTGAATTACAAATTTTTATCGCATAGCTTAAAACGAGATATACATTTATTTATATTTATATAAATCTTAAATTACAGTTTGTAATTACGCATTGCAATAAATACGCAATTAATATTTACGCAATTAATTATTTATATAGCTCCTCAACGAGCAAGATTTATATAGTTATTGAATAGTGACCATGAGGTTGAATTTTGCATCGTTTTATCTCATCTTGCGGTTTTTTTCTCTTTTTATATATAAAAATACGTATACGATACGTAATGCGCTGCGCGGCGAAAGGGTTGAAGATCGATCGAATCACCTCGAGAATATTACAAACGATCTATATATTTAGATTAAACACAATTTGACACACGTATATACTGCCAGCCAACCGAGCGAGTATCCCGACCGACCACGGGCCCGCGCCTTCAATCTCGTTCGATGCCGAGAATTTTGAGAGCCCTTAAAACCAAGCGCAATCGACTGTACTATTATTACAACTATATTACCGCTATTATTACTACCGCTACGTTAAGCGTATAGATTAACCCGCCGGTTTGAAGCCCTACTCGAATCGGTGAACTGACTCACATCCGAGCGACGAGAAAGTCGTGGACGGGACGAAAAAGTAACTTGATGATACGAAACATCTCGTCTGAATTCTTTCGATACGAATTCTCCTCTTCCAAGAAAGCCGAAAACCGCGTAATAGATTGTACATATTCCGATAAGTCACAGCGATTAGACTTACACAAATAGGAAAGAAAAGATAGATGATTCTGTCGATCAGATCCATCGGGTCCCGTCTCTCGCCCGAATACTTCTTTCGTCACAAAAGAAAAAAAAAGTAAAAAGATATGATCGGCTAGGGGCGTAAGTACTTGCGTTTCATACTACAAAGAAAATTCACATCATAGGTATTAAATACAGGATAGCGTTTGTTAGAGCCTGGCTGTTTCGAGAGATCAGGCATTCTTAACAAAACTGTAAACGTGATTACGTCCCTCCCGTTCACGATCACCCGTTAGTTATGGATTTAGAGTTCGGATTTAATATTAGATAGATAATATCTATATATCTCTCGCAAGCAAAGCAAGCGAGACTTAAATCAAGAAGGGGGAGGGGGCTATCTAAGTTTAAGTTAACATGCGTTTTGTTAAATGTGACGGTTCTCGCCTTGCTGCAGCCGCTCGCGTTCACCAAAAGGTACATTGTAACGGAAGAGGAAGAGACACCCGATAAGCGGATCTTGTGATTCTTCTAAGTTCCTACATTAAGTCTTCGTACAAATTGCTTTCGCCAGCCAAGGCAGAGAAGACTCTCAGCGCTTGTTGTTGATCTCGAACCTCGATATTTCGTCGATACCGGGCAGGGCTTCGTACCGATTGTTGTAAACTGCATGCGTTTTAGAATACTAGGAACGTATGACAATATAGACACATCGCATTGGAGCGATCCGAGTAATTCGCGCTGTATAACGGAACGATTTATAACGATTTTCAGTCTGCTGGAAGTATATGTCAAGTCGAAGAACACGGCGCTTCTCTTGTTACGTCCTTGCCGACTACTAACTTGATCTACGAGATTTGCAAAAATTTATGAGAATTACTTGATTCGGCATTCAGTTACAAATTGTTACGTAATAATAACGGCATGAAAGAAATGTGACGCCCGTCTTCATAATGTCTTCGCTACTGCTCCAAGAGATTAGCATTGTGAAACTGGTCTACAGATGTACAGTTGCATTGTCATTTTCTGTGTAAAAAGAGAAAAACGAAATCGCAAGAGGATTAATTGAACAGATACACTTGTCTTAATTAATGGGTCTTTTTAACGATTTTGACAAATTTGACGCATCGCGAACTGAACAGATATTTCATCACCATTAATGTTTTGTTAATATGTAATCGTTCCAATTCATACACTGTGGGCTGTTGCAAGATGGACATTGTATGTGATTAAAAAAAAAGCGATGTAAATTTTCGTCCATCGAGACAATTGGTAGTCACGACATATCAGCGTATTTGTTAAGAGATTTGTTAGGTTGACAATTTTCACTTGACAGGAGAGAGGCTCTCAAGAAGTGTACAAAAAAAAGGAAGGGACCTTCTTGGATCCTTCTTGGAAATGAATGTCAATAGTTTAGTGCAGGCTGAATTGTATTTTTTATTTTCTGTAAAAACATTTCGATTGAACGCACGAGAGTTTACTAAAAAAAAAAATAAAACACTTTTTTTGTACAACTATTTTTTGTCTTTTTATTTATTCTGTTTGTGGAGCATAGTTATATGCTTCTTCTGACTGTTTTACTATTCTTCTATTTGAGACTTAGATGATTACTTACAATGATAAAAGTATTGCCAGAAAATAACTAACGCTTTAAAAACTATCCTAATTCA